TATGCTAATAGACAGAATCAGGAATGCATGTGACGAAATAAGGCCTTATTTGAATAATGCTATACCACGTTCAATCATTCGTAGATGTGAATTGTGTATTGAACAATTGGGTTTACATTTCGAGCAACTACTTTAGATTTTGTATGTTTGTCCTAACTATCCAATAGCATTTTAGTTGTGAATAATTAATTTAGTTTGTTAAAAATAATATTGGAGAATTAAACAAATTAATATTATGTTTTTTGTCTTTATTTGGAGTTAGGAATTATTGCTGTGTTTAAAAACACAATCTAAACGATCACCTTAATCACTTGTAATGCCCAATCGAAAATGTTAAAAAAATATTATTTTCCCATAAATAATTAAAAATGCATCAAACCTTAAAAATCGAAATATCTCAAAAACGGCTAACTATAACGAAAACTCACAGGAGAGCTTTTTTATGTTGAAAAGTGCGAAGAATCAATTTTTTATTCAAAAAGCAAAAAATTGCATTAAGAAAAAATTTGCGGTTATTTTAATACAGTACAGGTACAGTAGAGAGCGCCCTCTAGCGGCTACAGTAAAACTATGCACATGGTTTCGTTTTGTCGTACCAAAAAACCCTTGTACACCAATTTTCACTGTTATGCATCAAATATTGTTCGAAATATTTAAAAAAAAATACTTAAGAAAGTAAATTTATATTTATATTTCGGAAGCCACGCATTTTTCGACCCATGTTTATATAGACTTTATGCATTAATTTTAAAAGTTCTATCGAATCTTAAAGTTATGCAACAATAAACTGAAACACCCTGTATAACAGGAAGTGTTGTCTGGAGTACCGACACCCCAAAGGTCATGTTCTTTCTTAGCTCCTAGATCGTTCAACATAATTTGAATAAATTTAAGAAATAGCTAAACAAGTGGCTTCTATCTACACCTCGAACAGTGATACGTCAGGAAATTGATTTGAAGAATACGCTGTCATTTCATGCATGGTTTGATTTTTTAATTGTGATTGTATGCTTAATGCGTTATCTGGATGTGACTTTTTACCTGGTTGCGACTATTCCAACGAACTGTGATTGCTGTTTACCATATGAGGATAATTTATATTATGGACGTGATATGTTACATTAGTAAGTCTTATTCTTATATTCAATTCGACTCACCCACGTACAAGGAATATTCATTCCTTTGGGACTCTCATTTATTCGCTTATTTCTTGCTTTCTTAAATATTTTATACGTTAATCAATTGTGCGAATAAATTATAATATACTAATACTTAATAGGTACCCCTAATATCTGTACTTTAAGATTCAATAAAAGAATAATAATGTAAAGAAACGCAGCATTTCTACTGAATTTCGTCAATTTTAGAACGCTTTTTACTGTGTCTATATTTGCATGAGCACACTTAAGGACCTCTAATGAATCCTGACACACCTTGCGCAAAACGAAAAATAAACTTCTGACAGCTATACACTCCAAGACATGTGATAAATCCGTTTAATGTGAAAAAACCCTGTATCCTGTAACCGAAGGGGACAGGTTACGAAAAGACACGCAGAGTTGTAAAAAAATATCCAATGAGTGCCTGGAAAACCATTAAGTTTGTCAGAATGCCTTTCATCAAAGAAATATAAATGGATTTTTTTTCCTGTGTTGATGTTGACACGCGGGATTTGAGGAACAATTACATTGGATAGAGGGGACGTCTGAGTATATCGCGTCATGGAAAACTTAAAATCGATGAGAATGATGAATAGATAGACCTTGAACAGTTGTCAGGAGTAAGGATTGGGGTGAAAAATCTATCAAGTAGGATAGTTTTTGTCGTTTTTATTCAGCGATATTCTAATACATGCAGTAGCCAAAGCATCTAGCTCTAATCTGATACAGCTACAGCTATAGCTCTATGAATGCAGCTAAAACATATTTTTTGCTATTGCTGTAGTGATTTTTTTATTTCTTTTTTATTTAGTGTAATTTGAGTCATTTAGCAAATTTTTCTACTTGGCTTGAGAACTTAACGGGAATATAATTTTTCTCCAAAATACGTGAAATCAACTCACTACAAGACATCTCTCTTATCAGATGCTTACATGAAAACCATTTTAACATCGTTCCAAATGAGCCAATCCAATAGAAAGTTAAGTAAAAGCACCTGCACAATTGTCATGATAATTCTGTACTTATAACAAAGCAAACCTGACAAAGACAAACAACTGACGATTGACACAACGACAAAAAATCGTTTAAATAACGAACTACGTTTTAATATCTATTAGCTAGTACTTCAGGTGAGTCAACATAAACAAATTTAGGGGTAGTTCCATACAATTTCGATATCATACAATATAAAAAAACCGAAAACCCTTTTAATTATTAAAAAAATCGCGTCAAGTAGATTGACTCTGTACTTCCTACGCATTCGTTGGAGTTTCAAAGAAATGAGGCAAGTGAAGTGGATCCGAGCTTGCACAATATTACTCAGGGTTTTTTCGTGGGTTTCAGTAATAACGACGGCGATATGGCTAACAAACTTTAATGGTAGTAAGGCACAACATAATTCACTAACTTAAAAAAAAACATGGAACCCGGTAATCTTTAAATCCGGAAGATGGTCACGTCACCTGTTGCCTCTCTCGGCGGCGAAGGGCAACTCCCCCTCGCTCGATCTACCACAATTTCGTCCACTGTTGCCGAGTTGCCGCGCACCTCACTGAACCACTACACAACCCCCCACTTAAATCGAGGTAACATAGATTTAAGTCTAGAAACAGAGCAGAGGGTGCAAGGCAATACCGGGAACATTACTCCAGTATAACATCGCTAGGCTGCTTATAAGCTTTGAGATTGATCACATTTTCCTTAGAATGAATCTTACTATCAAGATGTCCAATGACATAGGAGTTGGGTCCCGCTTGTTGTAACACAGTATACGGTCCATCATACAGTAAAAAGAATTTAGAAATTAGTTTAGCTTCGGCGGACGAATGAGGATGCGTTTTAACTAGAACCTTATCGCCCGGGTCAAAAGTAACAGGTTTCATCACTTTAGCCCCCTTTAACGAAATTTGCGCATTTCCGTTAGAACCTGGAACACTGCACGTCTTATCCTTTAAAGGATACGGCGACAAAGCATCCGCCGCTACGTTGTCAGGTCCGTTGCAATATCGTATCTCGAAATCAAATTCTTGGATAAATATTATCCAGTGCGATAACCTTGCCGAACGTAATTCACATGATATCAAAAAGCTAAGTGCTTTATGATCTGTAAAAACCACCAAATCTTGTCCTAGAACCATCGTACGCCACAAACGTAAACAAGAGACAACCCCCCAAGCTTCCTTTTCCGTTACGGTGTAGTTTAATTGACTTCCTTTCAAAACGGAACTCATGAAGCAAACATATTGTTTCTCCCCCGTATTGCTAATCTGGTAAAGACTGCCCCCCACGGCATATGCGGAAGCATCGCATTGAATATAAAAAGTGCGCTTAAAATCAGGATGAACAAGCATCATGGACTTTAGGAAGGCTGACTTAATAGCTCTAAAACTCTCCATTTCATCGCTTCCCCAGCGCCATTTTTCTCCTTTCTTCAGCAACTTCAACAATGGCACGGTCAATACAGCATACCCGGCGCAGAATCGATGTTCATAATTGACCAGACCCAAGAACCCTCGCAACTCTCTTATATTTCGTGGAACAGGAAAATCAGAAATATTTTTGACACGCCCCTCGTCTATTTCGATTCCCCTTGAGGTGATCACATGACCTAGAAAATGTACCTTTTCCCTAATAAACTGACATTTTCTTAGTTTAATTGTAATTCCGGCATCACTAAGTCTCTGAAAAATCGTCTTCAAATGCCTTAAGTGATCCGCTATGTTCTCCGAGTAAATTAATAAATCATCAACATATGACTGCGCGAAATCATTACAGCCCTCCAATATCTTATTTAAGCATCGAATAAGACTTGCCATGGAAGTAGATAACCCAAATGGCAATCGACAAAAACTATATGTTTCACCCTCGAACACAAACCCAAGATATTTGGTATGATCCGGTAACACTGGAATTTGCCAATATGCTTGCGTCAAGTCTATTGTGCTCATAATTTGCCCCTGTTTAAAATTGGCCATTAATTCAAACGGATTGGGAGGATTCACGAAATCCTTCTTCATCTTTGAGTTCAGCCCCCGAGCGTCCAAACACACGCGAATATTCCCATCCCTTTTCTTCACGCAAACTAACGGCGAAATGTAGGAAGTTCTTTCCTTTTGAATAACACCGGCCGCTAACATTTCACCAATCTGCCTTCTAACTTCATCCCGATAAACCATAGGAACAGGATAAGCCACAAAATTAAATTCATTTTCATCCACTAGCTCAATTTGATGAAAATAGTTGACGACGCGTCCCGGTGTATCAGAGAATTTATTCCTATATTTTTCCAAAATACAAGTGAAGCCTTAGCACTCCCACTCAAAGTAGTTTTCGCTGCTGCTGCCTGAATATCCTTTAGTGATGTAAAATAATTAAGTAACGCTTACAAAATAATCGTTACAAATGAGTAACTAAATGTAACGAGTCCTACTTTTGAAAAGACTCGTTACTTTTTATTTGAATTCGTTACTTTGAATGCGATACGGTCTTTTTCTATGTATACTTTTTAATTACTGTTAGTTACTACACTATACATTACTTTAGATACAAACGTTACTGGGATCTAATGTAGCCAGTACTGCCAGCGCCAGCAGCAAGTGACTTGGTTCTTGGATGTAAACTGGGTGGAAATGAAATGATGCGAATATCGTTAGGCTTAGGCAACTTTAGATACTCTTCTATCAAACGAGTTGCGGACTGCGGAGCTTTAAGTTGGCAATGTTTGTGTACACCTGTATACTTTTCATTTGACTGTGAGAGCTAGCGGTTGGCGGGTTGTTAGTGGTTTGGACGTTGCCGTACAAGCTCGAGCAATAATATAATTATTATTTGTACAAAAATATGGAATCATCCGCGTCCGGTTCAGGAGAATCGCAAAATCAAAAAAGAAGTGTTATTTGGATGCATTTCACCAATATATCGGAAGCTAATGCAAAGTCTAATCTTTGTAAAAATATTTATTCGCATAAAAATGGAAACATTAGCAATTTAAGGAAGCATTTGAAAACTAAACATCCGACTCTTTCATTGGAAGGAGAAAGGGCAAAACGGCGGGTGGAAGACGAAAATATGCCTAGGTGCAAAAAGAACTTAGTTTCAGGTATATTTTATTATTATAAGTATTTTGTTGAACACCATTTACAGTGGAGTAACCAGACTGTTAAGTAGGGCAGGGGAGTAACCAGACTGTGAAGGCAGGAGACGCTACTCAACTAAAGTGAACAGTGAGGAGAGTGGTTCCTCCACGGTCCCCATCTGGTATGCCACTTGTTAAAAACTATTTACAGCGTACAGCCAACGAACCAGACGTCACACAACGACGAGTTTAAAATATAAGTACCTTCTACGTATCAAATATCAAAAAAATTAATAGGCAAGGCATTAGACAAAAAATAATAATTGGATCAATCCCAAAGTAATAATTTGATATAATGTATAGAATTTAGGTTCTAAACGAAATGTCCAAATAGTAACTAAACTAACGAGTCCAAAGTTCGAAAGTAACGAGTCCTTACAAGTCCTAAAAAGTAACGAAACTTTGCATCACTAATATCCTTCGCGCTGTAGCCTTTACTGCGGGAATCACCGTCATCAACGCTGTACTCTACCAGTGGCGTAACCCTGCTAGCTTTATTTTCGACTACATCAAACACATAATCATTTTTCTCGCAGAGGTTTATAGATATTTTCTGCGGATCAATCCGAAATGACAGCTTCGTATTTATGGAAACCCCTTCTATCATTAGCTTCAGCTGTGAATATTGATAATCCAAACGTGCATGATGCTTGGATAACCAATTTGATCCAAATATCAAATTGCAATTGAGTTGTGGAATAACCAAACAGTTCACATCGATATCTATTCCTTCTAATTGAACTGGAATCAAGATTTGCGACTTTATCTTCTGCGTTTTACCGCCTATTGCTACAGAGATCACTCCTCGTATGACCGGTAAAATTGGAAATTTCCCGAGATTGCTTAACTCTGAATAGAATTTCTCCGAGATTGCGCATATATCTGAGCCGCTGTCGATCAATACTTCTACCAACGTACCAAAATATATATCGATATGGTTGGCGAAACCTTTTCATCATCCTGCACTATATCCTCCGGGTCGCTTAAAAGATCGATGTCCGGATCCCCCATGCAAGCCAGTGAACGCACGGTATGTCCCTCATTATTTCCCCTAGCGGTCGACCGCTTATCTCTCGATATCTCTCGCTCGGAATTTGTTCGATTATTTTCAGATCGATTACTATAACCCTGCGCATTATTCATGTTCCTATTCGAACCCCCCACAGTAGACAATTCGTCAATACGTCTCAATATTCCTCTACCGTATCAGGCGACGTAAAATTATTAATAATCATGCCCCGCTGGACTTCCACATCAAAATGTTTTACCAACATTCCAATTACATTTTGCATCGGAATTTTATTATCAAGAAACTTTGCTTGCGCCACCAGATTCAAGAAATAATCTGCTCGACTGCCATACGAGTGCGTACCGTAGACCAACGTCATATACAACTCTCTTTGTTTTTCAATGCTCCAGAATCTATTTTTAAATGCTAGACGAAATGAAACATAGTCGGTAAAACAATCCTCCTTAACGCTAGCCCAATCGGCCGCCGAACCTCTTAAGCAACCAACAGCTAAACCCAACTGCGCATGCTCAGGAACACCTGCATCGCTAAATATTTTTTCAATTTTCTTTAAAAATAGCATTGGGTGCATTTGCCCATAGTTTGAAAATGTGACATTACCACCCCCTAACTCTTTCCAGTTTATTATATAGGATCTATCTTTAATTACAGTCGAACAATCATCTATTCCTTTAGAAGTACAAACAGTCTCCGGCACTGTCTCTATTCCAGACATCAGGCCCTCATATCGTGTGTCGGACGTTGCCACCTTCTCAGCTAGTTGCCCTACCGTACTTTTTAACTCTGTCACTGATATTGCCAAATTTCTAACTAAAGACTCAAGGTCCTCCTGCACCTCCTTTGTACTCTCTGCCCTCCCTCTCCGCGACTTTCTGCTAGACATTTCTACAGCTTACCTAAACGACAAATCGTTACAATACTACAGTAAACTAAAACAAGGAAAGTTTTTTTTTTGTTACAATGACTGTTTCAACACAGTAAATAATCGTTAATATCCCCTCTGCTCCACCAGCTATCTCTTAACGCCTCACTGCTTCTCTACCAGCGCCTCGGTGCTCGTACAGAACCCCCCAGCAGCATACACACCCTCAGCTTTCCAAAATAAAATGACTTCTCACCCAGATCTGCTTACTCCTCTTACAACCGACAACACCGCCTGGCTCGTGCCGCTTGAACACAGCAACGCCTCAACGCCTGTTTCTGCGTCACGTCGTGCCGCCAAAATCAACCGTCTTCACCTACGCGTACCGTTTTCGTCGCGTCTCGTTCCTTCTCTATCTAACACCTTGCAACCGTTTCGCGCTACGCCGTTCTACTGCCACGAGTTGGGCGCCAAATGAAGTGGATCCGAGCTTGCACAATATTACTCAGGGTTTTTTCGTGGGTTTCAGTAATAACGACGGCGATATGGCTAACAAACTTTAATGGTAGTAAGGCACAACATAATTCACTAACTTAAAAAAAAACATGGAACCCGGTAATCTTTAAATCCGGAAGATGGTCACGTCACCTGTTGCCTCTCTCGGCGGCGAAGGGCAACTCCCCCTCGCTAGTGATGTAAAATAATTAAGTAACGCTTACAAAATAATCGTTACAAATGAGTAACTAAATGTAACGAGTCCTACTTTTTGAAAAGACTCGTTACTTTTTATTTGAATTCGTTACTTTGAATGCGATACGGTCTTTTTCTGTGTATACTTTTTAATTACTGTTAGTTACTACACTATACATTACTTTAGATACAAACGTTACTGGGATTTAATGTAGCCAGTACTGCCAGCGCCAGCAGCAAGTCACTTGGTTCTTGGATGTAAACTGGGTGGAAATGAAATGATGTGAATATCGTTAGGCTTAGGCAACTTTAGATGCTCTTCTATCAAACGAGTTGCGGACTGCGGAGCTTTAGGTTGGCGATGTTTGTGTACACCTGTACACTTATCATTTGACTTTGAGAGCTACCGGTTGGCGGGTTGTTACTGGTTTGGATGTTGCCGTACAAGCTCGAGCAATAATATAATTATTATTTGTACAAAAATATGGAATCATCCGCGTCCGGTTCAGGAGAATCGCAAACTCAAAAAAGAAGTGTTATTTGGATGCATTTCACCAATATATCGGAAGCTAATGCAAAGTCTAATCTTTGTAAAAATATTTATTCGCATAAAAGTGGAAACATTAGCAATTTAAGGAAGCATTTGAAAACTAAACATCCGACTCTTTCATTGGAAGGAGAAAGGGCAAAACGGCGGGTGGAAGACGAAAATTTGCCTAGGTGCAAAAGGAACTTAGTTTCAGGTATGTTTTATTATTATAAGTATTTTGTTGAACACCATTTACAGTGGAGTAACCAGACTGTTAAGTAGGGCAGGGGAGTAACCAGACTGTTAGGGCAGGGGGCGCTACTCAACTAAAGTAAAGAGTGAGGAGAGTGGTTGCTCCACGGTCCCCATCTGGTTATGCCACTTGTTAAATACTATTTACAGCGTACAGCCAACGAACCAGACGTCACACAACGACGAGTTTAAAATATAAGTACCTTCTACGTATCAAATATCAAAAAATAGGCAAGGCATTAGACAAAAAATAATAATTGGATCAATCCCAAAGTAATAATTTGATATAATATATAGAATGTAGGTTCTAAACGAAATGTCCAAATAGTAACTAAACTAACGAGTCCAAAGTTCGAAAGTAACGAGTCCTTACAAGTCCTAAAAAGTAACGAAACTTTGCATCACTACCCCTCGCTCGATCTACCACAATTTCGTCCACTGTTGCCGAGTTGCCGCGCACCTCACTGAACCACTACACAAGTCATTTCAAAACGCGAAATCGAATCGTAATCAGGTAGGTTCACTTAGGTACGATGAATCTTCGACCTCCGCATATCAAACTATATACTAAGAGCCGTTTTACACACAAGAGAATTACTCCGAAAATTATTGTTATAATTATGCCGAAAATTTTTGCTGTCGTATTACACCTAAAAGAATTCTTGTGAAAATTTTCATGGTAAAAATATAAAACCCGTTCTATAGAATATGCGCGAGAATCGGCGCAGAGGTTTATTTCCGTGCATGTCATTATCAAATGTCAACGTCAACATAACAACATAACCCCACTTAACATTTGTGGGTATGGTCCTGTTCGATTCGTACTACGAAGAAGCGTTTATTGTTATTGTTTATTCATAATGTCGTGGAATCAGGAAGAAGTTACACTGTTGTTGTAGGAGTACCAAAAATGGGCAAACCTGTTCAAGGTGAAGTCACCCAATTACAAAAACAGAAATTTGCGGCGTCAGGCGCTGGATGCGATAGTCCAAGCATTGAGAAGTTTTATAATATTAACCAAGATCTCGATTTCAAAAATAAATTTAAATCAACGACGTCTGTTGTCTTTCCGATTATATTGGACGTCATACCCGTTAAGGTTATGTCCATTCGAAAATACTACTCTAATGCGCAGGCGTATCATATGAATAAAGCATCCCACAAACCGGCGCGAAATATTCGCTTTGGCTGCGAAAATTTCGCGGCGATGAATTCGCGATCAGATTAAAACGCGGCGGTTTACGGACAGGCTCAGACTTGTGCGAAGCGAATGCGATTGTTCGAGCGTTTTTATCGCGGCGTATTTCAGTTCGCCTTTGACCGCGTTTTTGACGCCGTTCTTCAAAAATTCGCAATGGCAAAAACGGAATTATTGATAGAAATAGTGAAAAAGTATCCTTGTTTGTATGATTTGTCGAACGATGAATACAGAAATGTGAGAAAGAAAGACAAGATTTGGATGGAAATAGGAAAAGAATTAAATACAAATGGTATGTACCTAATATTTTTTATTAACTTGTTAAATAATTTACAGTCTACACAAATGTGAAAACGAACATTCTATATATTGGGCATAGGCATATCAGAATTAAAATAATTTACGAATTTGTCACGAGTAGAAAATGCTAGCCTTGCTGCCCGCCGAGGATCATTTGCTATATCAGTAAAAGCTCCAAGCACGGGTTCTGGGGGATCTAAGAATTGAAAATATTTGTCATCGCCACTTTTACTTCGTAAAAAATTGTGTAAAACACATGCCGTACGTACAATTAGAATAGTAGACTTTAGTTTCTAATGGCCTGTAAAATATTCGCCATTTTTGAGACAAAATACCAAACGCATTTTTCACGACCCTTCTAGCTCGACAAAGTCTTACATTGTATTTCTCTTTTCTGACGTCTGTTAAAGTCTGCTTATAAGGAAATGGTCTCATAAGGTATGGTTTTAAAGCAAATGCTGAAATCTAGGTGCAGGGACACTCATTAAATTTTGTTCAAATCGTTTTCCCATGTTTGAGGTTTCGAAAATACCCCCATCACTATTTTTTCCGAAACCACCAATATCAACATATATAAATTCATTGTCCGGGCCAACAATGGCCATAAGTACTATTGAATATTTATGTAAATAGCACCAGTAATTGGAGCCACTGTTGTTAGGTCTTTTGATTGTTACATGTTTACCGTCTACGCTGCCAATGCAATTGGGAAATCCCCATCTATTTTCAAATTCTTTAGCACATTTTTTCCATATATTCTCTGTTGGTTCTGGTAAATATGTATGCTCCATATGTCTGCATATCGCTTCACAGACTTCGGTTACGATTGCACTCATTGTTGTAAAGCCAACTCGAAAGCTATGCCCAATGGTATAGAAGGTGTCACCAGTGGCAAGGAATCTATAAAAAAATCGTTTTTAGGTGATGAAGTAAAAAAAAGGTGGAAGAATATCAGAGACACATTTGCAAAATATATAAAATCTACCAAACCAAAGACCGGCCAAGCAGTGGGCAACATAAAAAAATGGCAGTGGGCTGACTACATGGAATTTTTCCGTCCTTTTTTGGCATTTGCCAAAACGTCGTCTAATGTGAAAGATATTGACGTCATACATTATGAGACTGCCGAATTTAACTCAAATATATGGAGGGCTGGAAATGTAGAAACCGAAAATTTGGAAGACCGCGGCCATGGAGAAGATGAAAATGCTGATGTAGATGCAGAAGATGCACAGAACGCCTCGGCAACACAGACAGCACCACCTTCTTCATTGAACACTACAGCAGTGACTACTCCAGGGCACACCTTTCCGAAGACTGCAACTACACCAAAATATAAAACGAGTAGAAAACGCTATGAACCACCATATTCGTCTGTACAACAGCTCATTAATTATTTTGAAGGTAAAAAACCTAAAAAAGAGAACGAGGCCATTGATTCACTTTTCTTGGCACATGCACAGACTGTGAAAACACTTCCCTCAAAGCGTCAAGCCCGAATAAAACTAAAAATAGCCGAATTAATAGCGCACGAAGAATTTGAACATATTGAAGAAATGTCTTCAGCGTCTACCCAGAATTCTGCAAGTATGTATGATAGTAGTATGTCGTCCTTCCCAAGCGGCACTGGGTTTACTCCAATAATATACCCAACAGAGGAGGCAAATTCTGCTTTGAATTATTTAGCAACATTTAAACCTAGTGGCAACATGTAGTCCAATTATTACAATAAAATATTTATTTCACGATCCCTGAAGTTTTCGTATTCGATAAGCCTACTAATTTTAATACATATAATTTTTTTACCTGAGTGTAATAGCAAGTCGTTCTTCTGGCGAAATAGCTTCACGATAATTTGTGTCAGATTTTCGTATTTCATCTTTCACCAAGTTCAATATTTCATCGAAACACTCTGGAGTCATTCTAAAATATACGTAAAAGCGCTGTTCATCCAGCCGAAGTTGTGGCATCAAGGTATGGTATTCCCCAAATTTATTTCGTTCCAAGTTAATATCATGTACCCACTTCCTTCGTTTCCTAAACAAAATTGAAAATATTTGTTTTATGTACTTCGTTAAACTTAATACATACCCAACTATCAAATGGCGTTAAATAAACATAACTTACCGTCCATTTTGTTCCTCTTCTAAAGCAAGAAATAGAAGTGCCTCCTCTTCTTCTGAATACGAGCTCATTGCAAAAGGCAAAAATAAAATGTACGCAACCTGTCGAAATCTTCACGTTCGCGGAGCGAATAAGACGCTTTGGTATGAATAAACAGGCGAAACAGATTGCGAATTTCGCTCTGAATTTCGTTGCGAATACTTCGCCGCGATTATTTCGCGCCGGTTAGTGGGATGCTTTACTCGGAAATTTTGTCTGCTTGTGTCATACAGGTTGTAGAGAAAATCTTCATATTTTTTCCATGCAAATTTTCGGCATAATTATGACCATAATTTTCGGAGTAATTCTCTTGTTTGTAAAACGGCTCTAAGAAAGGTTGGGAAATCTGGAAACTGGAAATACTACAGACCAAAATATGTGAACTAACCTAAACGTGCCTTCGTCCAAAAGTTGGTAGTTTTGCGAGATACAGAGTGCCAAAGTTACAATTTTATTTTCTATTTTTCCTTATTGCTTGAGAAGTATTTCAGCTTTTGGCATGAAACTCGGTATAGAAAGGTTTTATAATATGAGAAACAAGAATCCGTTATTTTGTATGGCCAAACTTCTAGAGGGCGCCACTTACAGCACTATTTCGGTAAATAACTTATCATAACTTTTTCGTGCTACTCTGTATACAACAACTGACTGAAAAATCTTATTTTATCGTATTTCCGCAACAAAAAGGTTAGTTAGAAGTATCTAAAGCTGATAGTTTGCGAGATATTTGTTTCTAAAAGTTCCAATGCATTATTTGACGCATGATGATAAAACATTTTTATAACATAAGAATCAAGCTGCTTTGGATAATATCTGAGTAGCGCTGCTATGGTTTTTAACAGTAACAAATGAGGATGGCAAGAAAACAAATAAACGGTAATAATAACTACAAAAATTGTCCAAAATGAGCACCACCTTGCCCAACACACTCTCAAGCTCGACGAACTAATCCTTGCTGCACTCTCCAAAGCTCTTGGATGTGATTTTTCATTTCCTGGCTATGGTGGAAAATTCTTTGTCGATCATCCACAGTTTCCACTGGCGTATTGTAAACGCGTCGTTTGAAATTACCTCAGAAGAAGAAATCCATAGGATTTAAATGTGGTGATCTAACCGGCCACGATACAGGTCCTGATCGGCCTATTTTTATAGTCTGGATAAACTCTATTTAGGTGCTGTCTAACTAATATACTAAAATACGGTGGGGCGCCGTCGTGCATAAACCACATACTCATGCTTGTTTGTAACGGAAGATCTTCCAGCAGTGTGGGTAATTTTTTTTCAAGAAATTGTAGATACCTTTGGCCATTTAGTCTAGGTGGTAACTCAATGGGTCCTATTAAATAGTGTCCAATTATTCCTGTCCATAAACTAATTTGAAATTGTACTTGGTGGCGGGTTTGTATTATTGCATGAGGATTTTCGTCTGCATAAATGTCAAGATTATATGAGATAATGGGCCCATCCCTTCCAAATCCTGCTTCGTCCGAAAATAATATTCGCGACGTAAAACCATTGTCGTGCTTAAACTTCCTTAACCGTTTGTGTCCGGAATTAAATAATTTTAGGATTTTCACTTCATAAACCTAGTTCCGAAAATAAAGGATGTAAGAAAACGTCAAACATTTTGTGAAAAAAATGTATTACACATATTTTTTTGAAAAAGTGGTGGTCACCCGAACGAACCAGTAGGACCACCAAACAAAAACTTTTACAAAAGAAACAAAGCATTATCTTTCCACAACATGAGGCTAATCGACATTATGATATGCAAGAAAACAATTTCTCTTGTCATTCAGGCATAAACCTACATCGCAAATCGAGCAACTTCACATATTCCTATGAGCTTCCTTTTTTGTGCTGCAGATGGCGCATCGTCTGGAAGTTCCATATATAGGCATGTGAGCAGATTTTTCTGTCCTTTTTTCAATGGGAACGTATTTTTTATAATGATTAATGGGTTCCATTGATTTTCGACCTTTTTTCTTGGTAATGCAACCCGACGCAATTAGTCCCGAAGAGACATTTATCCTGAACTGTTTCAAAACGAGAGTCGAACCGCAGCAGCGTTTTTGAAACAAAATGTACGCGTTGACTAACGTAGTATCGACAAAGTGACAAACTATTCTACGGTACCACTTCTTGCTTTTTCGATCTATCGCGTAGCATTCTTTTAGCATGTCCGCCTTATCGACGGCACCCATATGTTTATTGTAATCCACAACCAAAGACGGACAAGTTATTTCTGACACAGTTCCATCTTTATTCTTTCTATTGATTGTTATGGTAATTTGACAAGAAATAAACAGGTTTTTTGTCTTTCCAATTTAGACATACCAACATCATTTGTCATTCTCCAGTCATATTGGCCTCGCGCTAGTTTTTTATCATCGATAAAGTCATCTGGCAAATATTTGTTCCCTTTTCTCAAAGTGCCACAACCACATAATTCCATTTTGTTTCAAGTAGCTGAGCAGTGGCACACTTGAAAAATGGTTGTCAAAAAAAATTCTATAATTTTGTTGTTGCAAATCTCTTGTCAAGTCTTTGACTACTCTTCCTCCTAAATCTTTTTGTGGCAAGTCACCAATCTTACCAGAATATATTTGAAATTCGCAAATATACCCTGAATCATCAGCCCGCACCCAAACTTTGTATCCACTCCATTTATTTTTTTCTGTAAAAAAAATAAATGACCGTTTACAGTCCTAGTGGTTACCTCAAGAAACCACTACATATTACAAGGAACAAAACCCAGTCAGATGGTAAATTGATCAATTGAGTCGGAAGGTATGAAATATTACAGTTATAAAACTAAATACTGACGTGTCATTTCAATTTTCACTCAGTGTGTTCACGTTTACAAACAGCCGAAAAAAGACACACGCGGAACCTTCGCAATGGATAAAGAAACTTCACGGAATACACACAGAGCCGTCAATTTTTTTCCCGATAGATGTCACTAACGGTAATACTTTTAAACCGCGGTAAGGCTACCCGACCAGTAGGACTGAAATTACGTGTTTTAATATAGGTGGTTACATGGTTCGACCAGTAGAACGGAATAGGTTAAGAGTCATGTACAAAATTCTACCCTTGTGGGGTCATCATCCGCGCTTAAGCCATGTACTTTTTGCAGGTGGTATGAATGGAGCAGTTGCTCTTGAAAAACGGTATTTACTGTACATTTGGAAACTTGAAATTCTCGAACTACATTCCTAACTCCAACTGTAGGATTTTCAAAGGCAGAATCTAAAACTTTTTTCCAATTTCAGTTGTACGTACAGTTCTGGGAGCACCACTATGTCGGCCCATATTTTGAGCAAAACTACCTTAAATCCAAGTGGTTTTTACTACTCAAAATAAGGCTATAATCGTTCCTTACCAGTTTCTCGTAACCGCTGATCGATTCGTTGGAAAGTCGAAGTATTCGAACTTCTTTTTACAAGCAAAACCAAAAGCTATAAACTCATGGAGATAAGAAATTAAACAAAGAAGAATAAAGATCATGTCATAAGCCAACTCGAGTTCGGCGTGCACACATCAGCCGAAATACTCTCATATTAGTCGAAAATACCCCTGCTTTACGAAATAATTGTAAAATCTGGTTTTATTGTTGTAAGTTGTTCAAGTGGCTATTCAAAAAATGGACGCATGAAATGGGTACACCAATTTTTGTGGGAAAACTTTTTATTTGACTACAAAGAATGAGAAAATGTGTTTTTAGGGATTCAATCGAAAGTATTATCGGGAACGAAAAACATTTCAT